AAGGCCTTCGAAGGAGGGGTCCCTTGAGTCATCTCTTTCCAATCCTTTAAATGGCCCTTCTGTGCCGTGCAGACTAGTCTCTTAACTACCACGTCAAAGCTTCTCCCTGCAAAATGATGTTCCCTTGTTCAAAGATAATCCCTTTCTTTTGTTGTAACGTGATTGATGACTGAAGTTCTAAATCTATATTTAAACAAATCTTTAGCTACATAAGGATAGGCAACGATCTGATAGCCAATTTAATTTCATAAAAAGAAGAAAAACTTGACATATCGGTCTTATATATCATTCTAAATCAGTACTTTTATATCTATAATCAGACAACATTTAATGAAGTGAAAATTCTGCCGGCATGAAACTAGTCATAATAAAATTAGACTTGGTTTGCTCTTTCATGGAGAACATATTCCAGATGTTTAAGTGATTCAAAGAAAAGCCACAGTATAATGGCTCCCTTCAATGTTTTCTCACTCACTGCTTCCAAACTAGAATAAAATCTAATGAAATTCTGGTAGTATTTAAATAGCACAGGATATTGTTCCGAGTTAGCTGCACTTTTTGACATTTGATGTTCAGTGTTTAATAATTTGGACATATATTTATAGGTGTGATATCAAAAGCTCTACCATTTGAAAGATAGGCAAACACAATGTTACATCCACTTAAATGACCCATATTCATTTTTTACATAGTATGCCTTGTGACAGTATGGCCCCCTAAACACCGGAACCTAGGGCAGATGCCAAAGTGGAGGGTGACTTGGAACACTCTCCTATCTCCCTTTTCTCTTCCTCTTTTCTACCGCCAGGTTACCTTCTTTCCTCCATTCTCGTGTGCCTTCATGGTGATTTTTTTTTTAAGTTTTTTTTAACCTTTATTTATTTTTGAGACAGAGAGAGACAGAGCATGAATGGGGGAGGGGCAGAGAGAGAGGGAGACACAGAATCGGAAGCAGGCTCCAGGCTCCGAGCCATCAGCCCAGAGCCCGACGCGGGGCTCGAACCCACGGACCGCGAGATGGTGACCTGAGCTGAAGTAGGACGCCCAACCGACTGAGCCACCCAGGCGCCCCTCATGGTGATTTCTAGATGGCTACAGTTTTTCTATCAGGCTCATGGGGATATCTCCCCAGAATCAGACTTCACACCAAATTATCACTTGACCAGCTGACCTCCCCACCCCCAGTCAAAGCTTCCATTTATCCTACCAGAAATGTAATCCAGATGAAACTAAACATACGCCTTTTCTTCCCCCTTGGTTAATGATGATCCTAGTAGCCGTTAACCGTGGTAGTCAAATAGCAGGAGTAAAATTTATTTCCTCTATTTTGGCTGAAAACCTAGAGTTCAACAGTTAATTGAAAAAGTCAGTTAAATCAGGGAATCATAAAAAGTAGGTCTTAAACATTTTATTCAATCTTAAAATAGTCACCAGTATTTTATTTTATTTTTTTTGAAGGTCTAAGAAATTTTATTTTATTTTATTTTTTAATATATGAAATTTATTGTCAAATTGGTTTCCATACAACACCCAGTGCTCATCCCAAAAGGTGCCCTCCTCAATACCCATCACCCACCCTCCCCTCCCTCCCACCCCCCATCAACCCTCAGTTTGTTCTCAGTTTTTAACAGTCTCTTATGCTTTGGCTCACCAGTATTTTAGCATCATGTGAAAGTTTCTTGTTTAAGTGTAGATTCACTGAGTGGACTTCTCTGTAAATCACACTGATGATGAAGAAGTTTCGATTTCCCGTTCCAGTTTCTGTAATGGCGACAGAGTCCATCAGGACAAATGGAAGGCATTCTGTGTACAGAACACTCCTAATTTTTCGCAGAATTTTCCTCATCTTTTCCAGTCACCCCCATTCAACATTTGCTTTTCTTTTTCTTTTTTAAACACCCTTCTAGAGTGTTCAACCTGGTTTTCGTAGAAATAATAACTTACTTTCTTCCAGACTTAAACTTCTTTGGACGGTGAAATCTTTTAAATTATTTAATTGCAAAGCTAACTGGTGAAAACAGGTTCGAGAACATACCCACGCCTGACAACTCAACTGATGGGAGCTGAAGGCTGTACGTACTGACAGATAGCTCTACTGTTTTACTTAGAGGCTGTTAGTTAGAGGTCTCGGTCACTGTGATTCACAGGGAATGAAGACTGGCTACTCTGGTGAGTCTTAAGTGGAGATCAGTTAAGATAACTTCTACTGTAATTGCTAGATAGGAACAATGACAACGAAAAGAAGCCACAAGATCCCATGACAGGGGTGGTGAGGTGGAGGTAGAGAGAGAGGGAGAAAGAGACAGAGAAGCAGAGGAGAAGGAGAGTGAGTGTTGTGATTAATTATGCATATTGGAACTTAATTTTTAATCACCCTCATCCTCCAAAACACCGACGCAGGATTAAAATCTGAGTTGACTTTGAGGGGAGGAAGTGAAAATCAAAACCTTGTAATAAAAGGCGTTTGAACACGTACATTATGTCATCCAAAGGGAGCTGAAACCTACATGTGATGAACTGAGATGGCTACTCAACTTAATGGCTGAGAGCCACGCTAGTGAAGAGAGATGATTAGCATCCCGGGTTAATCCACACTTTTGTCTGATTCTGCCTGGCTGTCCTGCCATCTCTGCGATGGTTTCCCATTTAAAATTCCCACTCGTATGATATTTATTTATGGTCACTACAAACACATGTTATTATCCAGAAGAGAGTGGTTCCATTTGGTAACCATTGCCCTCGTCCAGGCTTCTCCATTGACATTTAAGAAATCTGTCTTCTAGCCTTTTGTTACACAAAACAAAGTGATTATGGGTCATTTCCTTGTAGAGATATGAATTTACATTGATGGCTTTTTACCTCCCGCCATGGGATTCTTTTAATCCATATATTTATAAGGCAATGGAATAATAATATTTACTGTCATTCCCTATAAAAACTTTCTCAGTTTCAGACTGGTTCCTCTGACATTCCACTGACATGAAGTTGAAAAAAGATCAATACATAAGATGGGATTTTTTGCATGTGTGTGGTCAGATAGAAAGATTTCTTTTGTTTTCCTTTGTTTTTATTTTTTATTGATATGTAATTCACAAGCCATAAAATTTGCCCTTTAGGGGCACCTGGCTGGTTCATTCTGTGTGGATCATTCGACTCTTGATCTCAGGGTCATGAGTTTGAGCCCCATGTTGGGCGTAGAGTTTACTTAATAAAATATATATATATATTGTGAGACCTGTGCTGATCTCATAGTTCATAGGTTCAAGCCCTGTGCCGGACTCTGTGCTGACAGCACAGAGCCTGACTGGCATTCTCTCTCTCTGTCTCTCTCTCTGTCTCTCTCTCTCTCTCTCCTGTCTCTCTGCCCCTCCCCCACTCATACACACACTTGCGCTCTCTCTCTCTCTCAAATAAACTTTAAAAAAATTCACTCTTGGGGTGCCTGGGTGGCTCAGTTGGTTGAGCGTCCAACTTCGGCTCAGGTCACGATCTCGCGGTCCGTGAGTTCAAGCCCCGCGTCGGGCTCTGTGCTGACAGCTCAGAGCCTGGAGCCTGTTTCGGATTCTGTGTCTCCCTCTCTCTCTGACCCTCCCCCGTTCATGCTCTGTCTCTCTCTGTCTCAGAAATAAATAAATGTTAAAAAAAAATTCACTCTTTTACAGTGTACAATTCAGTCATGTTTAGTCTCATCACAAGATTGTGCTCTCAGCACCACTGTCTCATTCCAGAACATTTTCATCACTCCCAAAAGAGACCCCATGATTCTCTAACGTAAAATTTTTAGTGACCAGTTTTTTAGAAACATTAAGTTCTATAGAATTATTATCACAAGGTCTTATAGTATCTAAGAACTATATAAGAGTCTCATACTCCATACATGACCACATTTTAGTGGTGAGATATTCAAGTTGATTTGACAGTTTGAGAGGACAATGCCATTCTTGTTTAGAATGCACATCCTGACTCCTTTTATTTGGAGTGGGAGGGAATCTGGAGGGTTATAGATGAGGTCAGTGTAAACAGTGGCTTCATCAACATAAGGAACCAGAGAAATAATACCTGCCCGGATCGAGCAAGTCAAAGCAGCACATAGAACCAAGTAAGCGATGTTGTCCTTGTGCATAGACATTACATTACACAAACTGTTCTCCTAAGTGAGGGAATCTGTCCCTTAGAAATTGCTCATTGGAACATTTGGACATCATGCATCATGTTAAAGATCCATAAATGTCACCTCAATAGGGTAGATATGATGCATGGTAATATCCTCCCCATATCTGCATAGGGTTCTTCCCTGGACAGCCAAGAAGCCCCACGGGAGCCTTCCTAAGTCATTGCCACAAGGACTAAACTACCAGGGGACCAGGAAGTCATTCTTAGGGCTTGAAAAAATACCCTAATCTCTAAATGAATCTATTTATTATGCAGTTGGTACAAAATATGAATGTAATCTTTTCTGACTGAGTATACCTTTTTATTGTAAAAAAAAAAAAAAGGATCCATTTCTGGTTGGGAGGTGAGTCGAATTTAGAATCTGGCAAAATATTTTTCCTGTTGCTTTCCAATCCAGAATTTTTTTGGAAAGGTATGTAATAGTTAGTAATTTGTACTCTGGAGGTAGGCAAACATGGACGCGTGTCCCAGGCTCCCCAATTTTGACCCACTGAACCTTGGACAAAATATAACCTCTGTAAGTTGTTTTCTCGTGTGGAAAATGAGAGTTCTCCAACTATGAGTCTCATAGGGTTATTCTGTAGGGATAAAACTGGATTATGGAGACAGCTCATCACAGGATCAGGCACCTAAGAAATGCTCATTAAATATTCGTGATTATTATTCACCCATTCGCAAGTGATCAGGGTAGTAATACCACTATGATAGGGCAAACATCACTGACGCTGCACCCCAAATAGAACAAGATATCTTGTAGTTCGCATGTGTCTGGTTTTTTGGCTTGTAGTGTTCTCATTTACCAACTTGCCCTTGACTCTTTCATACAGGTGCTTCGAGGAGAAATTACACCTCTGAAAGAGAATGTCAGCTACGTCAATGACCTTGCTCGCCAACTCACTACGTTGGGCATTCAGCTGTCACCATATAACCTCAGCACTCTGGAAGACCTGAACACCAGATGGAAGCTTCTGCAGGTAGGCACATTATGAGCATTACAGTTCCTTGTTACAATGAGAGAATATACAGAGAAAGCTTGTTTGTAAGGAACAGTAAAAGTAATTTCTTCCTGTGATGTTCGCAATAATATTTCATGAATGTAGGATAGTTTATATTCTGCAATAAGATCCTCTATCATGTTTTAAAACCTATTCACAATAATTTTTATAAATAGCTTCAAGTTAGATCTTCCTATACCTTGCAACAAACACGGAAAATAATGCTGAATCGCGATAGAAGGACTTAGTTACTGTCATACAATTACTTTGTACTATCATTGCTTGGATTCTTTAAACATCTCTACCTTTGGAATCCTAATTTAAACACCAGTCAATGGTAAGACATATGCTAGAATCATTTTAGAAAGATCATTCTGTCACAGACCTACCCATGCAGGCTTTTTATAGGTGTGCATGATAAATATAGGGACCCCAAGCATGCTCAGGGTCACATTTACTAGCTGTGGGACCTTAGGACCCTTCTGTGTTTCAGTATTCCATCTGAAGAAAATGCAGACATTAAATGTTGCATAAATTCTAGCTCTTAGAGTTATTGCATTTATAATTATTATTATTACAGTATACAGCTTTTGGAATCAAACTTACTGAGTGACCTTGAAGTCACTTGTCCTCTCTGGTTGTCAGTCTTCTCATCTCTAACTTGTTTGCTGTAATATTAAACAAGTTAATTCATGTAGAGTTGTTAGTTCAGAGGCTCATAGTAAGAACTCAGAAAAGGTCATATGTCTCTATGTTCCCTATGCAAAGGATACTGTTTAATACCCCAAACCCTAAAACTGATTTGACCATAGAATTAGAGAATTGTTTTCTCTTCTTTTCCAGTTTCATAGGATGCAGAGAGTATGCTTCTGAGGACAGAGAGGAAACTGGGTTTAAAAATATTTGCTTTCAAAGTTTTAATAAAAAAAATGATAAAGCAGATAACTTTTCGTATTGGCAGCCCATTTAGGGGTATGATTGAAAGTCCTGTTAAAGAATTTCTAGACCTTTAATAAAAACAAGTTCCAAATCCAAGACCTCTTGAGACCTCTTATAATTTAATTCCCATTGTGATGGATAGTTTTGAAATATTTGTATGATAGATGGTTATAAGTGGCGTTGACCAAAGCAAGGCAATATAGTTAAGCGATTACATGCCTTTCTATGTCTGTTAGTTTCATAGTGGCTAAGTACTGCTAAGACCTTATCAATTTCACCCTTAGTATGTTTTTAACTTTAAGCATAAATAAGGAAAGTAATAAATGTCCAAGGAAAACCAGTGGCCATATTTGTTCCATTCAAGCGTTCTTGAACTAGATCTTAACATTTCTTTTAGAGAACCAAATGCCACATTTGCTTTCAGAATGTAGTGACGAGATTGGTGATCATGGCATGTGAGTTTATAAATGAGGTCAAGAGATTATGACTGATAGGGAGAGTTTTTCAAAATCAGTGCCAAGTGCTCCGTCGTTGCACTCTTTATTTCAGAGGTAAAGAGTGAGAAAATATTAATAGCTTAATTGTCACTTGTTCTTTAAAATGCATTGAGGACTTGGTTATAAACATAGGGCAGTACATGAAACGAGCCGATGTAGTGTAGTAACAAGTAGACTGGAGCGAATAGTACGAGGCCTGACTTCCCACTGACGCTCAGCTGTTCTTCAACACCATGTTGTCTTGAAAAAACCATTTATCCTCTCTCGGCTTTAATTCCTTCATTTGTAAAATGAGGCAATCCATTTGGTCTCAGGTCACATCCAGCTCAGTCCAGTGATTCCATATCTGGCTATCTGGGAGAGACACGCATATGGCAAAAATTGACTTTAGAATCAATACGGTTGCTTCCTCTATTCATAATACAGATGTGGCTTGTTGGAATTGTGTTTCTCCTTCTTTCCTTCCAACTTTTAAACCCCTCGTCTCAAACCCACGTATACACAGCCTCCTCATACTAAACGGTTTGATGAGTTTGCGGTACAAGCTCTTATTGTGGCAAATTTCACACGTTGCTGTTTTGGGACCTGACCTTATGGATATGCTTAAAAAGTGTTTTCAGCAGAAAGCTGATAAATCCAAGGTTTGGGGTCGCACGTAACTGAGTCCATTTTTTTCTTTGACCACAATTGTAACCACTCTGCTCTATTGTCAGTGGAAGTCCTTGTTCAGAAAGGGAACACAGCCAAGAAATGAGGTTCACATCAAATAATTTCATCCCCATTACTGGAAGAGCAAGTCATGTGTTCTATCGACAACATTTTACAGTTAGAATAATGTACCTGACTAAAGAATCACCCAACTTCTGTGGAGGAACGTTTAAGCCCATCATCGTTATAACATTATATTTCTATAAAAATAAAGATTTTAGTCACTTGCGGGGAGCCTGGGTTGCTCAGTCGATTAAGCGTCCGACTTCAGCTCAGGTCATGATCTCGCGGTCCGTGAGTTCGAGCCCGTGTCGGGCTCTGGGCGGATGGCTCAGAGCCTGGAGCCTGCTTCCGATCCTGTGTCTCCCTCTCTCTCTGCCCTCCCCCATTCATGCTCTGTCTCTCTCTATCTCAAAAATAAATAAACGTTAAAAAAATATATAAATAAAAAAATTAAAAAATAAAAAAGAATTTAGTCACTTCCAATGCTATGCCAGTTATGAAATCATGATAAAAATAAGTACAAATTCATCTCTGCTTCTTTGTCCACAAAGACAAAGAAAAACTGAGAAAGAGAAAGGAGGAGCAATGGGGAGGTACATATAAACCTAAGAAGATGAGTCTTCAATTTGGGCAAAATAGTGTAATAGAAGAAACAGTCACATAGTACCAGGCTATATCTACTTGTTACCAGAATATCCTGGGTCGAGTTACACAACACATTAATTTCTATTTACAAAAAATTTTTTTAACCTTTATTCATTTTTGAGAGAGTGCAAGCGGAGGGAGAGGCAGAGAAAGAGAAAGACACAGAATCTGAAGCAGGCACCAGGCTCTGAGCTGTCAACACAGAGCCCGACGTGTAGCTCGAACTCACAAACCGTGAGATCATGACCTGAGCTGAAGTCGGATGTTTAACTGACCGAGCCACCCTGGCGCCCCATTAATTTCTATTTTAATTTTTTTAATCTTTATTTATTTTTGAGAGAGAGAGAGAGAGAGAGAGAGGAACAGAGAGAAAGGGAGGCATAGAATCCGAAGCAGGCTCCAGGCTCTGAGCCATCAGCACAGAGCCCGATGCGGGGCTCGAACCCACAAACCACAAGTTCATGAGCTGAGCCGAAGTCTGATGCTCAACCAACTGAACTATTCAGGCACCCGTTTTAATTTGTATGTTAAAAGAAAGCCATGCTGGGTGTTTTTTTTTTTTTTAAGCTGTGTGTAACATCAGTCAAAATGATAGAAACAGATAAGCCATGTAGATATGACAACCACAGCAGAGTGTAAGACACAGCCACGATTTATCTATACACAGAAATACAGTGTATGGAGAGCTCTGAATTTATTTGGAATGCGCAAATAGAAGGTTAGAGGCATTGGTTTCCCTGTTTGAAACTCGGTGGGAATAAAATCCCATTTTCTCCCTCAGAGGGGACACATTGGTAGGGACGTTTGTGCTAGACCATGTGACAATGTGTTTTGGGTATAGGAAGCCATCATTCCTTGTAGTTACAAGGATTTTCATGAACATTATCTCATCTAATCCTCATAACATTGTGAGGATTACATATTGTCACTATTCCTTTTTACAAGTAAGGAAACTGAGACTTTGAAATAATAACCGACACCATCACGGTCACCGGCTCGTAAGTGTCGGTCAAGGTGTGAATCAGACCTTCTGAACCGTGACCCCTCGCCCCCGACCTTGTTTCTTCTTCTCAAAGTTCTATTTAATTTGGACTTAACAAAGTCATACTTTAAAGCTGGTTTGGGCACCACAGGTATGAAATACCTCGCTTTTTCCACGCTTCTCTTTTTTGAATGATCTCAAGGATCTTAACTTTGAAATCTCCCTTTTACAAACCAGTGGATGAGTGAGCTCCTCCTCCCAGTGTACCCCTTAAAATTCACACCTGTAGTTTCCAATACAAAGCGCTAAAGCGTTACATCCTTCATTGTCTTTAGAATTCCGCAACTGTCCTAAGGCCAACCAAAAGTGATTTTAATGAATTAGCTCTTAAAGCGGAACCAGTGATAATACCTGATCCCGTAGACGTGAGCATCAAAACCAAATGGGAAGATAATTACACTGAAGATAAGCTTTTCTCATTTTGAAGCCATGCGTACATGTTTAGTGATGTAGTCATGCGCTTCACTCACCAAGCACAAGCACTAGAGGGAATAGTCTCCTCCAGGGAGAGCAACAGAATATAAATATAAAGAGCACATGCTTTGTTGACTATAGGATGTCTGGAATGCAATCACTTGAAAAATATCGACTATGAAGACATTTCCAGGTCGGACCATCTTTAACTATGTTTAAGGCCAGCCTCATGAATTATGTATGTTTGGAAAGGTTTCCTAAGATCCTTCCAAAGTCAGGCAGACATACTCCATCTTCACATCCGTGTTAACTCTCTGCCAGAAGGATCTAGACCCTCATCTTCGGCACACACCATTCCTTCTTTCCTTCTTTCGTTCTGTTTTCACTCGGTCAACTGTGTACCTAGTATATACTGCAGTGGTCCTATCTGGTCCAAGGACATACTGACCCAAATCCCCTTTACTGCTTAGGCCATCTTGGGAAAAGTTTAATACGTGGGATTTCTTCTATGGCTTCCATAATGGCGCATCCTTTCTCCCTTTCTCCATGTCGTAAACAAAAAAATAGGCTCTTGCGACCCTAATACGATAAAAGTACTACCTTTCCAAGGTATCTGACTTAGAAATTCTTCCATAATTTCTGACTAGGAACTTGATCTACATTATCAAACTGGTAAGATTTGTAGAAGGAGATGGGATCATATTTAGCTAGCCCACAGAAATATTTGCATG